GCGTCACACACGGCGGCCTAGAGTGAGCAGAGGCCGGGGGATAAAGTGAGGAACGGCCGGAGGGTTAGAGTGAGTAGAGGCGGCGGGCTTGAAAATGGCGCAGCCGCCGATTTCGACGAAGGAGCGTCCGGAAGGACATGTGACGACCCCGGGCTGGACTCCGCTTCGTCCACGGTGAAAGCCGATCCGGCGATTCACAGCGCAAAGTTGTAGTATTTCCTCAGCAACCAGCACGGATCAGCTCCAGGCATGACGAAGCAGACATCGTCCTCTTTTGGAAGGCCAAACAAAGTAGTTTTGCTTTCACAACAAATCACACAGTGCCTTCACGACATGGCAGCGGCAACAACAATATTACAGTGAGAATAAAAGTTACACCTTCTTTCTTTGCATGAACATTTGGGCGGCGCTATGCAAATCTTCCCACATAGTGAAGTAGATATGTGGGGGCGTATTAGAACGAGCCGTTTTAGGTAAGCGTGGCTGACTCTTAACTTTTATAATTTTTATAATATCTCTTTGGATTTGAGACTTTAGTCTTTGCAACTTTACAGATCTTCTTTATGCACCAAGAGCTTGTAACACTCCAAAGAGAAAGGAAAAATGTGAATCGCATCATATGACCCCTTTAATTTGAGTGATCTATTTAAACACCCAATTGTCTTCCAATTAGTTTCTCTTTGCTTTATTTTTCTTTTCCTTTTCAAATGATTGTCAAATTAACAGTGGATGATCTTTCGCCAAAGAAAGAACAACATCAAATAACTTTTTCTTGTCTATCTGTTCCAGGCAGCAAGTTTCAAAGAAAAACTATAAGTATATTGATCGGTGTCATCTGGCTGTATTCACTGCTCTGGGCAGTGTTTCCTCTTCTGGGATGGGGAAGATACGGACCGGAACCCTTCGGTTTGGCCTGTTCTGTGGACTGGGCCGGGTACCAGCACTCCTTAAATGGCTCTTCGTTCATTATGGCTTTGGCCATCCTGTGCACCCTGATCCCATGTGCGGTCATCCTGTTCTCCTACACTGGCATCGCCTGGAAGCTCCACAAGGCCTATCAGTCCATCCAGAGTAATGATAACCTGCCCAACTCTGGGGCAGTTGAGAGAAAAGTCACCCTGGTAAGGGTTATCCAAAATTGCACACAAAAATGTAAAGAGCTTTGTCAAAACAGGCAGGCTTCGGTCTGACTAGCTAGCCTTACAGAGTTTCCGAGCACTGGGATTTACTGTACTAGTTCATATCAGTCCACTGGAAAACAAAGTCAAGTTTGCAACGATTTAAGGATTCATTCATCTCTAAAGCACATATGGTGTGGGACAAGTTACGCACCAAAGTTTAACGGGTTTGTTCAAATTTCTAACACTAATTATGAGTACTTGTACTAGTTATGCTCACATTTGCTGTTTGGCTTATTGGCTAAGACCAAAAGAAAACTACTTGGCTTGAAAATGACTTCTGTGTGAGTTGTGCTTCATACATTGCTACACTGTTGACAATAGTTGACCTGTTTTTGTCTGTGAAATTTTGTCAAAATATCTCTAATATGACCACACCTTTAGTGAGCATAGCTAATGAATATTTGATTTCTTAAGTTTTTAGCACATTGTTTTGATTGCATTTATTTGAAATTTCCTTCTAGGTGACAATATGTACACTAAAAATTATGGCTAGGGTTTTCACATTTCTTTTAAATGACAAGTTTGATGATTTTCAACCAGCTTTGTATTGTTACAGTGTCATAGTATGTGTAAATGACCATTTGCATTCTTTCTCCATGTTACCTGTACCCAAATCCTCTGCCTTTGTTTGTCATCAAAAGTCCACCAGATGATGCAAAACATCAAGGCTGTCACATGTGTTCACAAGCATCATCTGGTGGACTTTTGCTGGAAGATAAACTGGGAGATCTGGGTACATGTAACATGGAGAAAGACAATACAAAGCTGGTTAAAAATCAGCGAACTTGTCCTTTAAGCGTTTAACAACATGCAGGGTCACAGTATGTGCAAACCCTGGAGTGTTCACACATCTATAGGAGGCTTAACAGTTTTTCCTGCTACGGTGACAGACGCAGATTCACACCCAAGCTCCATCTTCTGTCCACAAGATTTTTTTGCTCAGTTGGTTTTAAATGTAAAATCTTACACCTAAAATTAATGTTTTTGCTAGAAGTGGGTTAAGTGGTTAAAAGTCAAGCTCCATCCAGTCCTTAAAGGTCACTAATGGATGTAAAGGATTTCCAAGAAATAGCCTTGTTATTTACCAGTCACTTGCATCTAAAGCTTAATAGTGTTTTGTGGGTGTATTGTCAGGGCTTTTCCCTCTGGAGATTGGAGCAAAATTGCAATCGGGTGTTTCTGCATCTTTTTTTTTTTTTTTCTGCACCTGTATTTTTTGTTTGCTGCCAGCTCTGATATTTAAGCACAGCTTATGTTGTTTATAAGCCTTAATTATTAAATGGTACATGTGGAGCCATCACTCTAAATTAATGTATTAGTGCCCTTTCCCCCAGACTACAACAGTGGTAGCATGTCCAACATGAATCAGTTGTCACTTTTGAATCATTCCTTTAAAAGTGATTCATGAATCATGAATCACTTTTAAAGGAATAGTTCACCCAAAAATGAAAATTTGCTGAAAATGTACTCACTCTCAGGCCATCCAAGATGTAAATGAGTTGGTTTCTTCATCATAACAGATTTGGAGAAATTTAGCATTCTATCACTTGCTCACCAGTGGATCCTCTGTAGTGAATGGGTGCCGTCAGGTTGGGAGTTTAAACTGCTGATAAAAACATCACAATAATCCACATCCACACAACAGCAATACTGTGGATAGAGGACTCATATTTTACAAGTTTGAAGTCAACTTTTCACTTCACAAGTGATAGACTGGAGTAATTGGTAGACTGGAGTCATGTGGATTACTTGTGAATTATTGTGATGTTTTAATCAGCTGTTTGGACTCTGATGACACCCATTCACTGCAGATGATCCACTGGTGAGCAAGTGATGTAATGCTAAATTTCTTCAAATCTGTTCGGATGAAGAAAAGATGAAGAAACAAAATCATCTACATCATGGAAGCAAAATTTCAAATTTTTTCTCCTGTGTTTCAGATGGGCATCCTGATCAGTGCAGGCTTTATTGTGTCCTGGGCGCCCTACATATTCATCAGTCTCTGGACCATGTTTCACTCTGATGGCAAAGACAGCGTGGCGCCCATTGTCAGCTTGCTACCTTGCCTTTTTGCAAAATGCTCAACAGTTTACAACCCATTTGTCTACTACATTTTCCACAAATCTTTCCGCAGAGAGCTTCGGCAGATCTGGATCTGCTGTTGCAGGGGTGCTGTGAGCAAAATGACACTCTGTAGAGGAGCAGAGCGCTCAGAGAAAACTAGCAGGGCACATGACACAGCAGAAGAGTGAACGCACACTAAATAAAAAGAAAAAAGGTTGCTGGATAGTTTGCAACCTAGAAAAGCTTGGACTTGGTGTGCTATGACATTTTCAAGAGCATCAAGTCTGTGTCTGCAGCCCACAGTAGTGCATTACTGCATGAACATAGGACACGAAATTAAGTAATTAGCAGAGGAAATTTTTGAAAACATTTCATATAGTTTAATCTTTTGATGCCAGAGAACTAAAAAACAGTATGGAATCAACACATTCCCTTGTGTTCTCTGTTCAGTGACAATCTCATGTTTATCTGCTTGAACAATATCTTATTATTTTCTCCTTTTATTGAATTTTTTATTGCTGCCTAACCTTTTCGTTTTCAGCAGATTATTGTGAGATCAGAGCTACTGTAATCTTTATAAGTGATAAATGCTTTATAAGAAGAGAGAATGGTTGTTTGATTGATTTATCAATCATAATTAAGTTTTTTGCAAAACTTTGTCACAATAATTTTGTCTTATGTTCCTTTCAGTTTTCCATTGAACCTGTTTTTCATTCAAATCATTTTTCACACTGACTGTTTCTTGTATTTTCCTCCTGCGTTCTTTATTCTACACTAATTGTTGTGTAGTGGTAAAAGTGGTATTTGTACCACTTATGCACATGTAATGCATCCAAAGCTGTAATTACTGGTGAAAGGGGCTGAACATCAGGTGACGTACACAGATTGAAAGGATCCTGTTAATGGCGGTTTGCATGACTCCATCAAGGCAAACACCCCATTGAGACTTCAATTTAAAAAGTCACGCTCACCATGTCTAGCTATAGAGCACAGATGCTACCTTGCTGTTGGACAGAATTCTTTGAAAACTAATAAAGCCACATTGTTTTCTTTTGTGTGTGTGTGTGTGTGTGTGTGTGTACCTGGTATTTATCACCTTCAGCTATGATCACTTTTTATCAACACATTAATACAGTCTTGAAAACATTTAATCATTTCATTATTTGTGCTACTTTGCAAATGCCTTTTATGTATAGACGTTATTGTTTTCGCCTTGTCCCACACATTCACACATATATAAAATAAAATTGAAAAAGATTAAATATAAAATCATATTAAAATCTAAACAAAGAGTGCAGTAATATGAATCATTTAAATATTTATTGATATATTTTTTATATATTTTCACACAGTAAATATATATTCACTTATCATATTTACTTATATATTGAATATGTATTAAATATAAATATATATTCACTTATATTTACTTAAATATTTACTTGTCAAAATTATTGATCTTAATTTTATCATTTAAATATTGATATATTTTTTATATATTTTCACACAGTAAATATATATTCACTTATCATATTTACTTATATATTGAATATGTATTAAATATAAATATATATTCACTTATATTTACTTAAATATTTACTTGTCAAACAAATTTATTTTAATTTTTGGACATTAACATACTCTGTGTGTGTGTGTGTGTGTGTGTGTGTGTGTGTATACAGTGG